CTTTTCAGGGCCGAGTACAATAACCTCAGTTTTATCTGAATTAAGAAGCAGAAAGTTAGCGGCCATCCAGGTCTTTATGTCTTTAAGACATTCCTGCAGTGTAGAAGGGTGTAGTACACACTATTGACCACCAGATGGAGCACAGAGATCACAGGTTTTCCTGAAGGATTGGTGAGTGTGACTCTTCTTATCCTCAGATGGATCAGTTGTCAGATGAGGAGGTGGAGGTCAGAGAGGAGGAGGAGGAGGAAGAGGAGGACAGTGACAAGGAGGACCAGGACCTGGATAAGATGTTTGGTGCCTGGCTGGGAGAGCTGGACAAGCTGACACAGGTACACAGAGCGTGAACAGTCCGCGCTTATCTGTGTTAGAAATGCAGCTGCATGTAAACACTCTCCTTTCTGCTTCGCCTGCCAATCCAGAGCCTGGATGACGGTCGCTCAGAACGGCCACCTCAGGAGAAGCCTCCGCTCAGACAGGAGACCAACATAGCCAACTTCTCCTACAGATTCTCCATGTATAACATCAACGGTCAGACATTTTATTTTTATTCTCCCTGTTTTCCTCTCGGATTTCCTTTTCTCCCCACAGGACGATGCAGCCCACACCTTACTGTTTCCTTAGGAATTAAATAACAACCAAGTGCTGCTAATCAGACGTACACACATCCTCAGCAAGTGTGCGTCTGTAAAACGTTTCAGCAGCTCGCTCATCAGGATTTTAAAAGCATAATAAAAAAGTGCTTTTCTCTGTCGTGTTTATTTGCCCTGATGTTTGGCGAAAGATAAACTCTGTCGGTACATTTTCAGTTACCATAAAGCGTCATTCTAATCTATAATGAACGGCCTTCTGCGCACAGGTCGCCGACCTTTCTCTGTTCTTGTTCAGCCACGCCTGCTTGCTCCTCTTTGTTCCTGCCTCACATCCTTCTGTCTCTGCAGAGGCCTTGAATCAGAGGGAGAATGTGGATCTTGATGCTCTCATGGCCGACCTCTGCTCCATCGAACAGGAACTCAGCACCGTCAACGCCAAACCAAACAGCTCTGGTAGCATGGCCCGTCTGGGCATAACCGATACCAAGGTACGCACAACCGTCCCTCTTGTCGCTGGCTGTACGTTTACCGACTGCGCCTCTTACGCTAACGCTTTCTTTTTTCTCGTCTCTCCAGGTTCGCCAGAAGCCCCCAGCTGGGCGCAGCAGCAGGCAGCAGCCAGCAGGGGGCAGCAGCGGTGCTGCCGGCAGTGGCAGTAACAGTGTTAGCGGTGGGGGTGGCAGCAGCGGGGCGAGCAGCAGCAGCAGCAGCACCAGGGCGTCACCGGCCGGCACCATCAGAGCTCCCGCTGGGCAGCAGGGGAGACCAGCCCTGGCTTCTAACTTCAGTCTGGATGACATCACAGCCCAGCTGGAGAAGGTAACAGTAAAAAGTACACATTTGATTTTATTAGAAAGAAATGTCGGGACTCAACCCTAAGTTGATGCAGAGAGAGTGAGGAGGCTGCAGGCTGAGCCCTGTTTCTCTGAGCTGTGGTCACGTTCTTCTGTTTGTTCCTGTCATAGTCGTATCACAGACATCACAGTGCAACAGTTTCACACACAAACGTCACAGCACAGATAAAGACGTGTGCAGCCTGCGGCAGATGTAAGGCTGGTCTCTGTGGACTGTTGCAGCTTCCCAACATTTGGATGCTCGTGGCTGATGTGAGGGGCAGCTGTAGCTGCAGGCTGATGCAGCTTGTACCCGAGCTGCCAGCTTGGTTGTCTCCACTGTCACCTCGGTCACCTCGAGCTCCAAAACAACAACATGGCTGTGGACATGTTGATGCTTCAGAACCCACAGGTGGCGTCACAGTGACCACATCCATCTTTCATGTTCGCTGTGCTGCCATGAATGTCATCTTTGCCCCTCCCTTCATTCCCGTGGCCTTTAACACAGCTCAGGGTTCAGGTTGCAACCAGCACTTGCACCAGTTAAGGATGTCAGCGCTGTTTCCTCATTAGCGTGATGAGCCAGACGTGTGACTGACCAGCAAACAAAGGCCTTCCCTGCTTTTCTGTATCTAAGCATCGGTGAGAGGGGAGGGAGGGGGGGGGGGGGTCGGTCTCCAAATGCTTCCTAGTTAGGTTTTTGCGTGTGCAGATGTTAGGCCTGAACATAAGACAGTCCTGGATACACACCTGGATGCCCTGAGGATACAATAAGATGTGACACAGCCCTGATATTAGTGGGTAAAACTTTAAGGGCGGATTCATCGAGCACCACCTGCATCACCTGTCAGTGATGACACATCCACAGCACCACCAAAGCGCTCCCTTCCTGCAGACGTACTCGGTCTGTCCTCTCATGTCTTCTGTTTGTGTCTCCTTCAGGCTTCGCTCAGTATGGACGAAGCTGCTCGTCAGACCTCCTCCCACTCTCTTAGCTCAGCCTCCTCCTTCGCATCCTCAGCCACGATGCGAAGGCCCGGATCCTCTCAGAGGCAGCATCGACGCACGGGATCGGTCGGCACGGTCAGCGAACACGAGGTGAGAGCAGAGCTTGTGCTTCATCACAACATCAGCGTTACAAAGGCAACAAAAGAAAAGAGAAAGAAAGAAGTAAAGCGGCAGCAGGAGGATGGAGTCAGCTCAGTGAACTGGTCATCGTCTCAGCTGTGAGCGCGATGGCTCTGCACTGTTCTGCAGGCTTTATAGGAGGAACTCGAGTCCTGTCGACTCGCTTTCTGTGTCCTGGCTGTGATCACGTGGAGCCGTGTCATATAAAATAAAAGATATTTGTACGTTTAATGAAAGCAAAGCTACAGTTACACAGCGGTGCTGCTTACAGTGTCATCACGAGTTCTGTTACACAGAGACTGTAGTTTGATGAGCGCACGTTTCATGGGCACCTAAACCTTTTTTATAGCAGACACATTCCCGGGCCTGCCTTCGTTCTTCTTTTCAGTGTTTTGAATTAGAAACCACTGTGACTCTCAGTATTTAAATAGCCCATCAAGTCATTTACTTGCAGACTGATCTTTAGAGACGCTGATTCGTTTGCAGTGACCACAGTCTGTTTGAAATGCTCGCCGTGGTTGCTTCCAGGCTGGACTGGGTCTACCTCACACTGCAAAGCATGAGTAAACATAAGTGCTGACTTGTGCTCAGGGTTAGTGTTTAAAGACAGGAAGTCACTCTGAGACGAGCAGCTAGCAGCTTGTTAGCAGTTAAACAGCAAACTGCTGTCTGAGCACATCATCTCAGCGTTTTAAGCTCATTAGCGTGTTACCTCTACGGGCTTGTCCAGCGTTTGTGTGCAGCTGGTCTGAGGATGACAGGGCCTCTCTGCTCCTTCTTATTTCTTCTGGTTTGCCACTTTAGGCACGCTCGATTGTCCACTCGTCACGCTCCTCCGTCACCTCAGCATCCGGAGTTTCCGTTAACTCGGCTTCTTCCATGGACTCGCTGGACAGCGTTCTGTGCGCTGACCCAGACGGCCAGCAAGTGACGCCCCCAGCAGAAGGAGCCGGTCGAGGTCATCCCAACACAGAGGTACACGGCTCTCTGTTTGTACGGTCCTGTGCTGCTGTAGCCGAACATAAGATACCTTACTGTAGATAATGTGATGACCAGTAAACTCACGAACAAGGAGGTCCTTTGGTTGGTTACAGGTTAAAAGTACAGATATTCACTGCCTGGCTTTACACCTGCACATCACACAGTGACTGCATTTACACGACACACACAATCAAAACATGTGGAGCGCTCAGGAAATCCAAACACAGCTACGTTCTGTTCATTTCGTTTGCTCCTGCAGTGAAAATACGCTCATAATGAATCATATGATATTATTAGTGGATGCATACATCACTCTGGTGTTGCAGCTGGAGATGAGTGTAAAACGTGTGCACTGCAGTTTCAGAAGACTTCCAACAGCATGGAAGTTTCCACAGACTGTATGTAAAAGATGGACATTATGACAATAACACCAAAGGCCTTAAACATGGATTCTTGCAGCCCAGCAGGAGGCAGCATGCATGCAGTTGTCCTTACTTCATGTGTGACTTGGGTCAACAGTTCCAGGTGAGGTTACTGGTTTAAGGCCTCCTTATTGTTACTGCAGCCTCGTGTGTGTTCAGTAAACTCAGACCGACGATAAATGGATCAGTGGCTGCTGTGTAGCTGCCAGTCTGATTCATGTTCTCCTTAAAGCCCTACAGCCACACAGTGTGGGAGTGTACACTATACGGCAGTGTGGGTGAGCCCCCACCAATACTAACAGCCGGCCCAATCCCAACATACACACATACAAGTGAATGTTCAAAATGATCATTGGCAGCTGCTGGTGGCTCAGACAGGACAGGAGGCTGTGGCTCATGCTGCCTGCCAAAGATAGAGACAGAGATGGTGCTCTCAGTTCAAAGGAGCCTTTAACCCCCAACGACCAACCAGCCGACCAACGATGCAACGTCACACTGTCTCCTCTCCAACAAACAGCCTTTGTTACTGGTGTGTGTCGGGTTATGCTTTGTGCTGCTTCAGGCTTCGCCCTCGCCTCTTTTATAATCCAACAGAAAAGCTTCAGTGACGCGCACATGCCACCACAAATAACAGCTTCTAATCGTGGTGAAATTAAAAGCATCATTTTAACTATGACGTCACGCTACTTTAGATAAAAAATCAACTGTCAGCGTTTACCTGCTAGCCAGTCTACAGTGTAACGCATGGAGTTGTACTGAGACGCTAACAGTGTTGTAACTGGTGTGTGTGACTACACAATCACACACCTTTGGGTTCACCGCGCTCTCTGGTTAGATTACACTGAGTTATTATTATTATTAGAACATTGAGTCTGTTATCGTCTTGTAAACACACTGAGCTGCTCTAACGGCACCAACAGTGTCATAATTCCTGAGAGCTGTCCATTCACAGTATTTAACATCCCAGTCATGTTTCCAGCCTCGCCTTCTACATGTGACACGCCTCATCTGCTTGTTTCTGCAGCTTTTTGTCACACACACTGTGGACGGGTCAGTTATGTGTGTCTGACCTAAATATTATTTTTAATCTGCGGCTGTCACGACAGACCTAATGCTTTCTATAAAATAGTTTCTAGATTGAAGCAAATGTGCAGTGATCAGATTATAAAGATGAGAAGAGAGAGGCTGGGTTCGCATCATTTTAACATCAGCCCAAAATAGCAGGTCAAAGAACCTGTGTCATTGTTGAAAGTGCCTCCTGGTGTGTGTTTGGTCAGAGTTCACACTCGGTGCGGTGGCTCTGCTCACGGACAGGAAGTCTCAGCACGCCACAGACGTGTCTGCAGTTCCTTTCTTCGCTTTGCTTTTAAATTCGAGTAAAACTGTACATGTAGTGACTCAGTCGTAAACACTGCACGGCTGCTGCGACTCACTCGTTTCTGTTTACATGATTTGATGTCATGTTTCACACATTATTACCCAAACTGCAAACTAAACAGTTTGTCCTTGAATCCATTCAGCGTGTTTGGCACCATTTTCCTCTCCTTGATGGAAAACTGCAACCAAAGCAACAGTCTCATTGTGCTCCTGTCTTTATTGTGGTCTTTAGAGAATATGTGCTGACATTTGCAGACACATAAAACCTGAAAGTCTCCATGTGACACCGCTTGCCTGACACTAAGTGCTCTTTGCCATCACCGTGGTGGTGCTGTGAAACCACAGCGTGTCCATGCAAGAGTACCCTGCTACATGCTCCATGTTCAATAAGAGGCACATTGGTTTGTATTAGCTAGTGTTGGAGCCCATTACTGGACGTCTGTGCGACTGCTGCTTGTGTTGCCTCCTGCTGACTCTGAGAGAATGCAGGTTTGATGTCAAATCCAGAAATGACGACACAGACCTTTTACAGAGAGACACAAAAACCAGCACAAAGTCCTGAATCAACTGGTGTCTTTGCACTTGTAGTTTCCTGAGCTTTGTGGTCATGTTTTGTAGTTTATTCTAAAAGCCCTCAAACTTCACCCAGGGTCCGTCCCACATGATGACATGATTTTGTTAGTAGAGTCGGCTCAGTCTGGTCTCTGCAGACACTTTTTACACGCTGCTGAGCCGTATACGTAAACTGAACTGAGCCTGTGAGCGCAGGTGTCCGTGGGCAGTGTGGGTGTTTTTATGAAAACAAGTTTTTACATATGACTGTCACATGATATGTGTCTTAATCTCTTGACATCTGCAGTAACCTTGTATTTGTGCTACATGCCACAAAAACACTTTAAGATGAAGAAAGTTAAAGGCGTAACCTTTGAAGCTTTTTGAACTTATAGGCGCATCAGGGAAACCTGCATATAAACAGGTTGTAGTCAGGGCTAACCTCACACGGGTCACTGGGATGTAATATCCTTCCACTAGGAGCTGATCGGTGCTTTAATGTGTTTGCTGTGTGTGCAGTTCTCCTCCACAGGTTTCCCTCTCTGATCTCTGCCTGACCATTGAGCTTTCTGCTAAACTACCACGTTCAACCAATCAGCAGCAGATCGATTCACCGGCACTCTCTCTTTCTTTTTCAAGCACTCGTATTTGGACAGGGAAACCTCGCTGATTTTGAGAAACATAGCGGGAAAACCTTCTCACCTACTGACCAAGGTGACACCCCACATACTTCTGCACACTGCCCCTCTGCCCTCATACGTCAGCATCCATCCTCTGCTCCACCTTCTTCTACATAAGTCAAATAAACATGCATGTGCACGATGAAACGAGAGTTTTGGCGATGTGCTTGTTAACTCTGTTCACCTCGCTCTTTGCCTTCCTTTTCTAACTCTGAGCTTGAGCCTAGTTTTGCACAGCTTTGTGGATGCTGCCCGTTGCTGTTCTGATGTTGCTGTGTGTGCGTCTCACTCAGCACCTGCTCGGTTTGTTTGTCACAGTGATGCAAAAGCTGGTTTGCCTTCAGTCGTACCTGCAGCCAAGTGCAGAGACACTTTTGAATAAAGGTTTGCTTCATGTACGAGTGAAGGCAAATGCTGCTTCACTGGACGTGTGCTACGTGTGACATATTTGTACTGGTGTGCCAAGTCTTTGAAGGTGCAGACCACACAGGACAAAGTTGGCATAAACTCAGTGTGTACCTGCTAATATGTCATTATTTCTGTGTGCATGTTGAGTTATGAAACCTCGCCTGATGTGAAACATCCACTAAAACCAGTGAGCGTGTCGCTGGAGCACACCCACCTGTGTGCTTTTCTTTTGCCCTGTTTGCCTGTAACTGTAAAATCTTGGATTGTGAGGATGTAGGATTACTTCTGATAACGAGACCAAGCGCAGGTAAGCAGGTGTGACAGCCAACTCTTCTGTGTCTGCTTTTACAAGCTCCAACCAGCCCAGCCGGTGTTGGACGCTGCATTCCAGTAAAAAAGACCAAATGTGTGTGATAATATTCAATATTTCATCTTGTGGCAAAGCTCGGGCTGAACGTGTGAGCGCTCTCCTGGACAGTTTAGTTAGCTGCTGTTAGCAGAAACCACGGTCCACAGGCTGTCTCTGTGCTAACGAGCGCTTGCAGCCAGCAGCAGAGACTGGTGCTGGTATTGATAATGGGACCAGCTACCCGCTATATATAATCGTTACTGGGATCAGCATCCCGGCTGCTGGTGCAGATCAGGCGTTCCCAGTTTATTTTCAGTAATTTTTTTATTCTTTTTTAAACTCGTTTTTCTTCTTATGTTATTTTCACGTCTTATGTGTTTTACTGTTTATTTTGAACTTGCACTAACTGCAGTGGGAGTTGTACTAACACTGAACGTGGACGTCCGTGGACGGGAGCGTGGCAATCGCAGCTGTCGGGGAAGCTGTGGTTCTTAAGCTGCAGGTTGTTTGTGTGTATTAGGAAGGCCAGCTTAAATAGCAAGCAAGTAAGGAGGCTTTATCCTGATTGGATCGGCAATGACAGGATTTCATTGGAAGAAAAAGCAACTGTGGCACTTTGATTGGATGTTACAGGAACGTGCCAAATTTGCAGGGGTAATCTCCTTTGGAGGACAGAGGGGTGATTCCTCTGCCCTCCATCAAACGTAGACACGTGCACACAACGCAGCCAGCTGCCCGCGAGCTCTCGTTGGGAGATCTCGGCATCAGCCGTCTTTGTAATAGCAGCTCAAAAACTCCAATTTGAGGAAAAAGGAACATCATCCTAGAAATCGACTGCATCAAACAGCGTTTAGAGCTGGACTTTTACATAGTGCTGAATGATCAAGTTATACTTGAAGAACTTTCTAATGATGCAGTATCTGCATAGTATTTGTACTGTTCCTGGCTCTTGTGTCTAAGAATTCAGTGAATATACTGGAACAAATGTTTTACCAGTGTTCTCACACCGCTGTGGGTCAGACCGTCTCGCTGCTGCCTCGCTGCACTATTCCTGACTCTGATTCACACAACATGCTCGAGCTGTCTCTGGGAAGATGGAAACAGTCCGTGTTTTCTTTTCATTTGTGTCCCAGATTAGAGGACGCATAACGGCCCCGACCATCCAGGCAGATTATGAGCTTCTGGGCCAGTCTAATTCCTGCAGCAGTGATTGCACTGCGGGCGTAATTATCTGCAGTCATTAGACTGTGTGTGTGTGTGTCAGTGTTACACTGCCTCAGCAATAAGTCCACCCACACTCTTGTTCACACACTGCTGGCCCAGTGTGCAGTTCATCTGTGCGCTGTGTTTTGAGCTGCAGCACTGAGGGGACTCATCCTAGAAAACTTCAAAGGCAGAAGATCCCTCCCTGAGCACAAGCTCATTTTAGCTGCTTCATAATGTAGGCCAGCTGAATATGTGTGAGACGGAGAGACGATGGTTATGCTGCAAGATGGAAAACGCAGTGATGTCAGAGGTCGGCGTGTTCAAGTATTCAGAAATGCAGCTTTTTTAATAACACTGAATCATAGTTTACTAACAGTCTACTGGCACTGTAAGCCAACCGTAGCCATCTTCTGAGAAACGTCATCATTCATCACGATTTATTACCATTTATTAAATCAGCCTGAGTACAGTCCTGTGCCTGAGCAGCCCTTACATCTTTAATACGTGGTGCTGGGCAGCAGCTCTCTGGGCTTTCTTTGGGCATTAGCTGTGGTTTGTCTGACTTTCAGTCAAGCCATGCATCAGACCGTTAGAGCCACTTGACCCTCTCTGAGTTAATGAAGCATCAAAACGGCTGAAAGGATGAACCAGCAAAGAACCAGTTTAAATATGTCCAGAGACACTTGTTACTAACAGCCCATCACAAAAACCCACCATTTGTTTCACTGGCTTTAGTCGAGTCCTGCCAAACCTTTGACAGGAGGCCTAAAACTGATCCACCAGCAGTGAAGACATGGCCTCAGTGGAACGGTGGCTGTCAGGCCGTATCGGTTCAGTCTGTGCACATTTGCTTTCATTTGTTTCTTGACAAAATATAAAGAAATGAGGGGTGGCTCAAAACTTTTGCACAGTGCTGTACCTCTGAATGATTGTCTGCTTCCATATATGTTTGTTCACGACGGTTAACTGTGGAACCAAGTGGAATAATTTCAAGTCAAGTTTGGGCACTGGATTATGAAGCTATGAGCTTAGGCTGTTCGCTTCAGTGCTGCTTGGAGAATTTGGTGTGTGTGTGTGTGCATGTGTGTGTACATCCTTCGGTGTGTTTAGCGGGGTGGGGGAGGGGAATGAGGGAAAGTGGCTGCTAATCTCCTCCTCCTCACCACATGGCTCCTGTTTTCATGCAGCCTGACTGACAGCAGAGCGCCTCCATACTCAGACCCCTTAAAACTGGATCCGACTCAAAGAGAATGTGAGAGAAGAGAGAGGTGAGGACAGCAGCAGGAGAAAAGTGACAGAGGAGATGACAGCAGGAGCGCGAGTCTGTGAGGAGTGCGAGTCTGTGAGGAGTGAGTCTGTGAGGAGTGTGAGTCTGTGAGGAGT